CCACACACATACGCACATACATAAGAAGAAGAAAAGGAGGAGGAGAAGGAGAAGAAGAAAGGAGAAGGAGGAAAACAAAGAGAAGAAGAATATAAAAGTACTCTAGAAACTGAGAGAAGTAGATCAAGTACTATCAAAATGAAGATTTCTATTTTAGATTCAATTCTGAGGTCATCAAAATTAACATGATAGTGTAAATATTGTTCGTTAAATGCTGATTCAGTAGAAAAATAAAATATTGATATCAATAGAAATAAAACATTAACAGAAAAAGTAACACAATAAATCAGTAGGAAATTATGTAAGTTTAGTAATCGGGAAATTAAAATACCTTGATAAATATTTGACATAATGTTTAAAAAATGAAGCACAAAAATGAAAAAAAGAATTGAAAATAAAGCAAGAGAGTAAAGGCATGAATTTAATTCTATATAATACAATAAATAAAATAAAATTTATTAATAAATTACCATAAGCCCCCAAAATATCCTATTGTGTTTTTTTATTCCTGCAAAATTTTCTGAATATAATTGGGGGACTTGTCTTATAAGTAATTAAAATGATTTTTTAACTAAAATACTAGTATAGAACTGAAATACTACTCAAATAGATTCAAAGTGAAGAAACACAAAATATATAGATAATTATTTTATGACAAATTTATAAAATAAATTGTGAAAGAAATTATGTGAGGGACAACTGGTTGTCCAAAAAATTAAGGGAAGGCCAAGAATAGTGGCTTATATCTGTAATCCCAGCTACTTAAGGGACAGATATAGGGGATTCATGGTTTGAGGCCGGCTTGGATAAAAGTTAACAGAACCCTATTTCTAAAGAATAAAAGTATGCTGGTTCTTACCTGTAATCTAAGCTACTCAGGAGGTGGAGATAGGAAGATGGTCATCTGGGACAGCCCAGGGCTAAAATGTACAACCCCATCTGCAAAAGGCAAAAGCAAAAATGGCTAGAGGTATGGGTCAAGTGGGAGAGTGCTTGTCTAGCAAGTGGAAGGCTCTGCCCCAGTACTACACCTCCCTCTAAAATAATTGATTTTTTATTTTATTCACTGGCATAAAATCAGACCAAGTATGTTTTGAAAGGGTTAAAATATAATAGTCAAAGAGTGAGATGACAAAATAGATCTATATGGTTTTAATTTTTTCATGGCAAATGTATTTCCCATCATGACCCATGAGCCATGTGTAACAGTTCAAACTTTGGCAAGTAGCCATTGTCAAAAATAGTTAGTTTTTGTGTAAAGCAAGCTGCTAAAACAGAAATCTTGAATGGAAAAATGAATAAAGTGAAGAGAAAGGCATTTCAAAGTTAATGAATTCATGTGGCCAAAAATCTATAGGTAGTATGATAATCAGCAATTTAATAAATCCAAAATATTTAAATTGGGATGTCACATCAAATTGGCAAAATAATGTTCATGGTAATATCTGATGTGAGTAGTATATGGGGAAAAGGAATTCCTCAGGTGCAGTTGATGGAGGGTGAGTTTGTACAATCTTTCTACAATATAATTTGGCAACATTTATCAAATGTCTTTACAACATATCTGTATCATTTGATCCAGAAATACAACTTCTCAGAATTTACCTTCAGAAAATAAGAAAGGTACAAAGAAGTATGAAGCATAATGTCTAAGTTCCCTCCCCTGCCAAAAAAAAAAAAAAACAGCTGTTCATTTTAGAGAGATACTCAAAAAATAAGATGATTACAATTTTTGAGGGCTTAAGTATGAAGTACAATTTTAAACTAATTCCAAGGTAACTGAGCAAGAAATAAGAAAAGGGAATTCAGAGAGAGGTTTTTGAGATTGTTGGTGCTAAAATCTTGTAATAGAGGTCCTAAGAAAAAGTCCCCTTTGAGTCCCAAAAGCCTGGAACATGGTGACCCTAGAATCTCTCTTACTTATTCCTCAGGAATTAGAGAAGGTCTCCATCAGGTCTCATAGTCCTGAATCTGTGACTGCTGGCAACATACCCCTAGTGTCACCTGTGCTTTCCCTGTAGGTATTAGGGATTATCTCCTCCACATCCAACAGCACAAGGACTGCAGCTGTCCATCCCAGTACCACCAGTGCTTGCTTGACTCCATGGGACCTTTAGAAGGATAGATCTGCTGTAAAAGTCACACAATTATCTCGCTGAATTTTTGCAGCCAAACAATTGAGGCACTCATATAGACTGCTGACATTGAGAGCTAAGGAAATCACATGGAAGCTACAATTTGAGCTATCTGCAATCAAAGTCAAAGCAACAACCCAACTGACACCCTATAGCCCAACTAAATGAAAAAAAAAATTCCTTACAGAAGCTACTCCATAAATAGGAAAAGGCAACTATTATACTACATGTAAATATATCAAAAATAAGGACCCAGTAAGCCTAAAATAACAAGGAAAGTGAATCCTCCAAAAGGAATACAATAATTCTCCAAAAAAAATCCAATCTATGAAATGCCTGAAAAAAAATTCAAAATAATGACCCAAAGGAAACTCAGACATGCAAGAGGATGCATATAGACAATACAACAAAAGAAGGAAAAAAAACCTGACATAAATGAAAAATTCCACATAAATCATTAAAAAGAATCAATGAGAAAACATGAATATTAAAACTTACCAGTGAAATAAAAATATAATTGAGATCCTTAAGAAATACTAGATCCAGCAGAAGAAAGAATAATTCCATTTGGGATGATTTATGGCCAATGCAGGAAATGTAGGAAAATGCAAGAAAACATATCAAAACCTAAATTAAACTTAACTTCAATATTAGATTAACTTTTTAATGCTCAGTATTTAAAAATTGATTTGCTTTGCTCAAGCACTTCAAAAAGGAGAAAGATTTATGTGATAGGAAAAATGAGTGTCCCTTCAAACACTTCAGTGTCTTCTTAGTTGTGAAGTTTCTTTCAGGTGGACAATCCGTGACCAATAACTTTTACTTTTGTCTGTGACTTTCTTGTCCTCACTTTACATTCTCTAGTTTACCTGGGAAGGGTTACATGTGGCAATCTTTTTTTGGATGGGCCTTCATTCATTATCTAGAACACAATCACATGATTACATTTGACTGCAATGGAGTCTTGAAATGCCTGGCTCTTTGCACCAAAACCAAAGGAAACAGATTTTTTTACCAGAATTCTCTACCAAGTATGCCTTCTGATCACCAAATAGCTTTTCACCATTTTTCTTTCACACAAACCACTACCACAAACCATCCATAAAGAAAATGTAAAGTCTCCTCAAGCCAATGTACCCAACTCAAAGTTCAAAGTCTCAGGTATGTGCCAACTTATTCATCAACTTGGATACATTATTCAAATACAAAAAAAAAAAGGCAAGTTAATGTTTTTCTCCACTCCCTACCTAATATACGAGTGGTGAACAGAGACAGGAGAATCTTCTTTGCTAATAAATGCACACATCTGGAAATAAAAGAAGAAGAAAAACACAGAGTAGTAACAAATGTATAGTAATTATGAAAACATGCCAGACTGTTATTGAAAGGCCTTTTAGCCTTGACAATAGTGGTTTCTAAAAAATACTTCATACTTCTCTGTTCATAATTTTTTACTTTTTTCAGTTCTACCCTCTGGGGAGCTCAATAAGTCAATTCTACTACATAACATAGAAAATAGTCACCTGGGAATATGCCCCATTACAGCTACACAGTCTTTATCATCCATTTTCTGCTTTCATTGGCTTAGGGAGTCTATAAATTGTTTTGAAGTTTAAAAGAGACTTCTCTTTGTCTAGACATATTATTCTCTGACACAACAGTTCCACTAAAGAGACAGTAGCCTCATAAATCTATCTGTCAGATTCATGTCTTATAACCAACCACACCTTAAGTTTTTGAAACCATTATTGACAAGCCTAATTTCTTTAGTTTTTCCTTCTCTAAATTCTTCTTTTAAGTGTAAATAGCCACCATGAGGCTGTCTGCAACAGCAATTTGGGGAGTAGACAATACTAAACTCAATTTCATCATTGACAAGGGACTGAGTCTTAATGGAATTTGTTGTTCAAGCTTCATTCAGTTTGTCCTCTTATTATGTGACTTGTATATAATTTTTTAATTTTCCAAATGTTGAGTACCCAAATGCCTGGAATTTCTTTTGACCTTTTGACTTCTACTTAAAAACTGCCCATCCTTTACTGGGCTTATCACTTTCCAATAATATTTTATTAAGGCAGAATAAAAATGATGTTAATAATCTCTTCTTCCCAACACTTACTGTAGCATTTTAAGTTCAAGGGACATGCAGTCTTCCATGTTGTGCATTCATCTTCCTCCTCCCATAACCATTTAACAGAGTTGTAACCACACACCAAAAAATGCATTCTTCTCTTGAATCAACTACAGTGGTCATTACAAGCTGTCCCTTTTCTTTCTTCTCAGTCTGCTCTGCTGAAAAGAGCTATATCTATCTGGACTTTAAATGTGGGAGTTCTCCAATAAGACAATTGTTAGACCTCTTCTGTTTACCAAGACTCCCTTGAAACATTCTTCAATTTTAGCTTAAATATTTGTATATTAACAGCAGTTTATCAAATTCATTCTCAGCTTTTCTCATAATATCATGATATAACTTTATTGAAAAAATGGTGCAGTTGAGTTTTTCAAACCAAATACACACATACTAAAATACACATACAATACACGCATATTTTCAGATACAAGTGGAAATTAAGGAAATAAACATATAAGTAAAAGGTAAAATCTATGCATTTGTTTAATGTGTCTTTCCCTTAAAATAGAACCTCAAAAGCAATAGTGAGGATATGTTATTCTGTTCCTAGGTATATTGTGTGTTATAAGCACAACAATGAATATTTGTTGACTGGGTTAATACTGTAATACACTGTAATGCAATTTTATTTTAATAGAAATGTATTAAGTTTCAAAAAACTCATTCTAGTACAGATATGCGTTTTATGACTGATTAACAGGATAACTAGAGCAATTTTCTTTTTTCTCCAGATCCCAATTCTCTGGCTGGCCAGAATGGCCCTGACCATGCTCTCATAGGAGGAATAGTGGCTGTAGTTTGTATTGTCACACTGTGCTCTATATTTCTGCTTGGTCGGTATCTGGCAAGACATAAAGGTAGGTTATGTTGAAGAGACAACAGAAACTAAACAAGTAGCTTCATCCTGAAATCTTAGGTATCCATATTTTTGTCTGCATCTTATATATGTAGGAGAGAAAGATGGAGGAAGATCTAAATAAGAAATTATCTCAGGGAATTCTTGATAAGGATCAGTCAAATATGTTACCATTTATTTGGCAATTATATTATCAAGTAAATTAATATCTTGGGGGAGGGAGATAAAGGAAAAATGATGGAGAGGATAGATTCAACTATGATACATTTGGTAAATGTCACAATGTGCCCCCAGTACAAAAAAAAGATATAAAATGGAAAAAAAAACAAATATCTATTAAACCATTAAATTATATAAATTAAATTATAATATTAAATATAATAAATTAATATAATTATAATATTAATTAAATGAATTTATCAATTAAATTATTAAATTTAAACTATTAAATTATATAATAGTATTCTACCTGGACCTCAAAAAGAAGTTTCTCATTTTCTTGTGCTATTATCGCTACATATTGTTCCATAAGCTTACAAATTAAAAACATCAACAAGTGGCTTATAGTTAGATTTTACTTCTAAAGATAAATTCAAATTGCCTTTTTTTCCTAAGCAATCACTCATTTGTGAGCTTTTGCATTGTCCCAAACATTATTTTACTAAGCCAATCTGGTTGTAAGTTAAATAAAAACTGATCCAGAAAAGATAGAAGAAAGTTTATAATTTATTTCCAGCACCAAAATCCACCTATCTTTTTGATTAAGTTTTTGTTTATAGGTTTAAGAAGCACATGTTTCCAGTGATATTAATGAGGAAATATTTGACTTTGTGCAGTGGGACAGATTTGAATATCATTGACAAGGCTTACTTTTAAATAGAAATTATGAAAATGAGTGTACAGCATTTGCCACAATCAAAAATCACATCTTAACAAAGAAACTGACTGCTACAGCCACAATGCTTTTGTGGTTTTAATCTACATCAAAGAAATCAAAATTATTTGTTACCCATTCTAATTTGTATCATCTGTATTAACAGAATCACAGCTTCCTACTGAAAATGGAAAGAAAGGTTCAACATTAGAAAGGGGAATGCGTTTTAGAGTGTTCCAACATATAAGATACCTGACAAAGTTTCTTCCTAACCAAAATAGGCTTTACTACTGACGATTTTACTAAGCTCCCTATATACACTGTTGCTTCTAATATCCACAGACATATTTAACGAATGAGCTAAAAGGAGCTGAAGATGCACCTGATGCTGATACAGCCATTATCAATGCTGAAGGCAGCCAGAGCAATGCTGAAGAGAGAAAAAGAGTATTTCATTTAAAATTCAGACCACAGTTCTGAGTTTTACTTACCAGGCTGACTGCTGGAGAAAACTGGCTATCATCTTTCAGAAATCATTCTACCATCTTCTGCTACTTTTATTAACATCCATACTGTACTGCTCTCAGTAGCCAGTATATACAACAATCAGCTGTTGAAAGCTCATTCTTTAATTACTGTACATCCATAAATGCAGGACATTTC